GAGCCCAACCCCAGGGCCCACTGGGCCTCCTCCCAGCTCCTGGTCTCCAGCTGAGGGCACGGACCCGTCACGCTGGGCTCTGTGGCCCTCCCCCCCCCAATCTGCCCAAGTGCCTCCCCTTGTCCTGAGGTCACGCTGGCGGCTGTAGCCAGGGCGGCCGTGCGGACCGGCTGAGCCCCCACCAGAGCCCCCGAGGTTCCTGAGGCCGGTGCTCAGCTACCACCAAGACAGCTGCCCCTGAGGTCCGCCCCGAAACGTGACGTGCTCCGTCAGACGGTGCTGTGCTGCCCAGCGGCCAGGGCGGGGTCGGCAGGGCATGTCTGTCCCTGGGAGGCAGCTCCTGAGCTGGGGCCACCTGCGTGGACATGGACAGGAAGCTGCACGCCTCTTCTCTCGCACTTCCTCCCCAGGCTTGCCTCCTGGGCAGTGTCTGCAGGGCCGCGCCTGCCCCACCCAGGAGCCTGCTGTCTGCCCGCTGCCATTCTGGGGGTGCGCATCAGCAGCCACAGTGGGGGAGGCAGGGGGTGCCCCTCCCCAGTCCATGCCTCCTCCAGACCCACACCTGGAGTCATCTCTGTCCTCTGGGCCCAGCGCCGCTGCCCTGCCCATGGCTCCACGGGCACCTTGCCTCTCCAAGACCAAAGGCCAGATGCCCAAGGACCCGCCAGCTTGGAGCTGAGACACGCCGCTCCAGGTCTCCTCTGCAGCTGCAGGCCCCCAGCGCCCTGGTCCACTCTGCTGGTCGCACAGCCTCAGGCCTCCTGGATGCGGGCCTGCCCTGCCCGGGGGGGCGGGGGCACCTGCCCCTGGCTGTCCCCTCAGGTGAGGCTGCGCAGGGACAGCTGGAGAGGATGGCAGGAGCCAGGGGGCGCGGCCCTTCCCGGGCGAAAAGCCTGCTCCTGGCCAAGGCCCGTGGCGCCCCTTTAGTCTGGGTTGGGGGTGACTGCACCTTCATCCCCGAGGGTCTTCATCGCCCTGCCTCTTGGCAAGGGGAGCCCAGAGTGACTGGCGCGAGCTAGGATGTTGCTCAGCCGAGGCTGAGGCTGAGCAGGTCCCCTAATGGGTCACAGGGAGTTGGGGGGGGGAGGGGGGTTGAGGCTCGGGGTGGCCATCGGCCTGGTATCTCCCACTGAGGCCCAGCCCTTCCAGAGCCTTCCATGGCGGCTGCGGGCAGTCTGGTGCTCCGGGCGCTGGGCTACAGTGGGGGCAGTGGGTCCCGGCTTCCCCCGCTTTGCCTCAGGCCTCCCGCTGGCAGCCCCAAAGCTTCGCCCTTCGAGGACAGCTCAAGGGCATCCAAGGGCATGGGGAGAAGGCAAGGGGACGCAGGCAGGTCCTGGGCCGTGACCAGGGACAGTGACCAATGACCAGACGCTGCGCTGCTGGATCAGCCATTGGCTTGGCTCCCGTCACCTTCGGGGCTGGTGCGGAGACCCCTCCTCGCAGGGGGCCTGGGGGAAGCAGGGCTCCGGGGTCC